GAGCGCGGGCAGACTAATAAACTGTACTTTGCAACACATTGGACTTTAGAAGTAAGGATGATGATGTGGAGGGTGTCGGGTCGTGGTTCGTCGTTAGAATTAAGATCCCAGCGGTCGGTGACGTCGGTGGCTGCAGGTGTGGAGAAAGCGGGGATAAGGGCTCAGCGATATTCCCAGTAGTTTCGGCAACCGCAAACGTCATTGTACCACGGCCACCTTGGGGCCCGGTGCATCTGAGTGGTCGACCGTCGACCGTGCCGCACCTGCCATCTACGCAGCATTCTCTGGCCCGATGATTGGTCAGACGGACTTCGTACCCGCTACTTCTCTGCGGTACTTGCCAGTTACAGACACGCCATCTGTCCATTTTCTATCTACATCCCCTGAGCTATGGCTGAACGGGAATGCAACAGCCAGATCTGGTTAAGCACACACGATGCTGCGTAGTTGCATCGAGGTATCATACTGATGTAGGTAGGTACTTACTTGATGCATCCTCAATCTGATGGCATATTCTCTCTCTGAAGCCCGGCGCAGGAGACCTACGCAGTCGAGATACACCCCTCTGGAAGCCCGGCCTCACGCTGCCGCTATCACCTGTGGTCCACTGAAAAACCGCAGGCGACGGGACAGATGTGAATTTACGGCGCAGACATCCTTCCCCCTTTACCGAAGTTTCATGTTCCCTGCGCACGCATTTCATCTCATCAAACTGCAAGTGGAAGGGAGAGAAGAATAGACATATTTTTTCGGTTTCTATTTTTCGCATCTCGACTCCACTCTTTTTCGCCCTCCATCTTTCTCGAAACACCAGATCTGCCGCAGGCCCGCCCAACTCATGGCGTCTGCTTTGCCAAACCTCCAAACCACCCGGCATCTTCCCCTTATCAGAACACGGGGATCTCCATGCCTCTTCTGACATCTGCGTCTTCGTCGCCACGTCTCTTGGGATGAAAACCACGGACCAGAGGCACAGAGGGACATTTGAGTTGCGGGAAATACCTTGCGGAATAGGGGTGAGGCATGTACGAATAACTTTTGTTCCTGGCCTTCACCTTTAACGGCAAAAGTTGCCCGCCCTACACCACCTCAGACTGTGCCTGTACCTGGCCTTACACCAAGGGCGTGCAATCTTTTCCTACCTGTCCCTACCGATACTAGCGCATATCTCATATGCTCTTTCGGCTTCAGTCTCCTGCGCCCGTCTCCCGCCGGAGGACGAACTGAGAAGGACACACACCCTCCGACCGACCAAACCAAACCAAAACATGGCATTCTGCTAGATGTCCATGTTCGCCCGCCGGAAAATACCATCATCGCGAGGCGCTGGACAGCCCATACACACGGAACTGACGCCAGCCGGCCTGCACTGCCATGTTCTTCATCGCACCCTCTCGCAGCGTATCTCAATATCTTACTATGATACAGTCGACAGGTTTACCATCTCACGCCTCACGCTTACCCCTTCATACGTACTTTGCTTTACGTTTTGATAGATGCTCAAAGACGTCGATGCCTCGCTGCGGACACGCCCTTTCTGCATCGCTTCTGCGCTTCAAATCAACCAAACAGATTCCATTCTGTGGCCTTCCCATTGTCCAATCTGCGTCCGCCAAAATCTCGCCGGTTGTCTACCATAGTACCTACCTTCTCCATTCTCTTGCAACCCCCGAGTCAAACGCTCCGTGCCCCGGTGCGGGTGGTAAACCGATACGCAGACGACACTGCTAGGTATCCCGACCTTGACATGACTTGGGCGCTGGTCAGTGGTTTGTTGCCCTGTGCCTGCCGCTACCGCTACCGCTACCGCTACGGCTTCCGCTGCCAGCTGTGGCCCCAGTCGGAGCCGTCGCGTTCGGCGTCACGGTTCCCTTGCTGGCAGCTACCTAGGGCAGGTATTTGCCTCCACCACCACCACCACCACCACCACCAAATTCTCATCAGATAACACGGCATCCCAGCATCACAGGGTTAACAGGCAACCGCAAAGAAATCCTGGCCCCTGAGAGCAAGCCTCATCCTCACTCCGGTCCAGCACACCTTCGTCCCTGGTTCCGGTTGGCGACGCAACGCTGCGCACTCCATCCCTAGCATGTACCGTATGCCGTGGTACACAATGCGGAATGCTGCACCACCCGGTCTGCCTTGCAGCTGTTGCACCCGCATCTGCGTCTTTGCGGCACCAAAGACGACATGTGCACTCGCTACAAGAACCCTTCAACTTTCAAGGCCATTCTACCCCTCACTCGCCACCACAAAACTGCCGGACCTTTTCCATTCTAAGTGATGGGTGGTCGGGGGCTGGCAGGCAGCTATTCAAATCACACGGACACACCACACATGCCCAATCGCCGAGCCCTATCGTGTGTGCCAGAGCGAACAACCTGCCCTGCCGCCCCCGGTCCTTGTAAGTCCCCGCGGCGCCGGCCTCTTCACCGCTCAAATCAGACAACGGGGCCGTAACCGGCGTTGCGCAAACGGACGGGGACAGGCCATCAAGGTCCTTTCCCCTCTGCTTCTGTACCCGCGGTCCCGTTCCCTACCCGCCTGTCAGAGAGTGACTTCCCCATCGCCCACACACGCTATGTTCACCTCGGGCTTAGACGACCCTCCCGGCTTGCTCGCCCCGGCTGCGACATTTTTCGAATGGCTGATGGCCTTGTCCACCAGGTCAATTATTTGCCACGCGAGGGGTCAACAGCCAAGGCAGCCATTATCATCACCAGTTCGAGCCCGACGAGCCCAGTTACACGGGAATGCATCGCCTCAACTTGAAGCAGCCTGTTCCGGACCCAGTCGGGGCTGCGGAGGGGCTCCGGGACCCTGGCCGAGATGAGAGCAATATAGCCTCGACGAACGGACGACGCCCAAATCGGGAAGGCCTGTAAACAAACGTCACATGTCGGCCCGCGAAAGATCTGATACACCACCCAGATGAACAAGACCCTGTGGCCGGGGTAAGACGAGGCCAAGATGCCTTGTTTCTAATGAGTGGATGACGGTTTGCGGTGCAATTCCATTTCAACCGAGGGGCCACGAACCCCTCGGACTGTGGAATTGCCGAAGATTCTCAGGGCGATGAGGGGCTTCACTCCTCACGAGCAGTCCGAGCATCGCATCGCATCGTGGCCGTCAGTGGCTCCAGCAGGTCCGGCTCTTGGCTGCTGCGACTGTTCTGATCGGGGCCCTTGTAAACTTTCACACAGCTATCGTTGTGCGCGTGGGCTCACCACGTACGCCCTGTGTCTGTAAAGGAACAGCCTCGCGGTGCCAGTCAGTCAGTCCTGAAGGGAACGCGCAGCCAAGAAGAGCTCGCCTCGTACCAAGCTCTCGTGTCACCGAGTCTCGCGATGCTGCATACGCGGAAGCTCCGGCTCGAATCTCAGGAACGAAAAACGCCCGCGAAGCAGCGCATGCCCACCATCTTCGCGGGCTTCACCCCTATGCAGCTAGCATTGTCTCGCCCGCGAGGCGCCTCCATCTAGCATCTCAACGCCTCGCGATGAGATCTTAAACCCCAATGACATCCCGCCCGCCTCGTGACGTCCATCTTCAAACCCTCTCCTCCCCATGAACAAGAACTTTACCTTGAAGCTGGTAGCGAGGGACGCATCACGTTCCCGTTCCGGAACCCAAACCGTGAGGATCTACAAAGACACCGACGTTGCGAATGGCCGAGACGTCGCGTGAGGGAAACATCACCAAGACCAGCAACACACAATAAACGTCTTTCTGGCTGCTTTCGAGCAAACCTGATGTTGACTAGAACACTAGCTCACGATCCCCATCGCCCGTCCCCAGATCTCAACGTCGTTGACTCTTTCCGTTTGCGCAAAGTTAGTCCCTTCTTGACAAATCCATCCCGTGCCCGCCCCGTTGGGACTATACGTCTGCCGCAAACGATGCGTGTGTTGTCTAGTAATCAAGATATACGACGTATCAAAAGAGAGCAAGGAGGCTAGCAGCTAGGGGTGTCGCGAGGGGAACACACGTACTGAGTAGGAGGGGTGTGAGATGGTGAAAATGGTGGGCTGAATCTTGCAACCGAAGACCACATACACATACACACACCCGGACGCAAACGGCAACGGAGGAGGATAGCTGATGACGACGATTCTCAACGTTGTACGCGGACGAGACAGACACACACAGTTGAAGAAGACGACGATCATGGATGGCAGATTGGGGTGGTGGTGGTGTGCACGAGGGATAGGCATGTCGTGAGAGTATCTTGTTTACAGGTTAACTTTTCTTCCCTTCCTTGGATTCCGGATATTAAGCTACGTAGACGATTAGTCGCCGTAAAAGCTGATGCTACCTTATGGTCTCTTCAAAAATAGGGCTGTGAGTATGAACAAGAACTACTCAAGCCGAGACCTGTAGAAAACAAGACTTTCCTTCCGACTCCCTTTCTATCCCACTCCGAAGGCAGCTTCTCTTGAGAACCCCATTCCGTCCTCCGCCCTCGGGAACTCCTTTTTCCTCCCATGCCTCAATGGTGAGACCACAAAATACCAGAAGAACACGAAATAAGAAATTGAAGACGATTGCCGCGTCTGAGTGATTGTTTTTTGTACGCGTATGCAAGCCCGAGTGGTAGGAGCTGCATCGGCTGTAGTGTACATGTCCCGCGAGGAACATTGTTGAGTGTGTCCGAGAAAAGAAAGCGGCTTGGCGCGCATGGTGGTATAATAAACATGTAGACATTAAACAAAGGTCGTCAGGTCGTGAAGAATCGAATGCAACGAGAAAACGAGGCGATCCACAAGGCTCTCTCCACAGATCGTGTATGGGACGGACCCAGCCGATCGGTTGAGGCTGTCCCACGACACCCGCTAGAGAGAGGTGTTTCGCATGCTGAGGGTGTGAAGGCGATGCCGTCTTCGTCCCTCGGTAAAAGATGTCGAATCGATGATATCCTTTTCCCACGCCATGCCAATCCAAACGCCGGAAAGCAAAACCCTGATGTGAGACCGAAACCGGAAGGTTCCTCTGATCTGCTATACGTGCGGCGCGCCAGGACGGCCTTTACCGAGTGACTCGAGAAGCTCGTGCGGCGGAATCTTGCGCATGCCGCCGCCGCGATCGTACATCGACGTCGGTGCAGGCGTGTATCCTTCGCGCTTCTTACGCAGACGATCGAGGGCCATGCCGGCAATGACCATGATGAAGATGAGAGCAAGGGAGATACCGAGACCGATGAGGACGACAAACCCGAGTGCCAAGTGGCCGGCTATTCAAGAGTTAGTGATGGTTCGTGGTCTCATCGGAGGATTAGTAACTTACATTTGTCTGTGAAGAAGTCCTCGTTCTCGGTGAAGATCCTTGCAATCGATCCTGCGGTGTTTCCGTCGTGAATGGTGAGAGCAAACGGCTTGAAGACTGTGCCGTTGAAAGTGGCGGCCGACGCCTTGCCATAGCCTGGAACGCCGATGGATCCTGTGATCATCAACACTTGGTTGGACGCGAGAATGTCGGTGCTGTCGTGGTTCTCAGTGAGGGAGAAGACTTGCAGACTGTTGACGACAGTGCCGGGAAGGAGAGTCACTCCGGCAGAGTGCCACGTAGAGCCATCGTACTTCATCAGGTAGATGGAGCCGTTGGACGCGGTTCCGGAAACCCAAAGTTGACTGCGGTCGCTCGATCCAGCCGTCAAGGCCTCCACGGGACCGGGAATGACATCCTCTCCAGGGTAGGCAGACCATGCTTGGCGGTCGGGGCTGTACATGGCGAGCATCGTGGGAGATGTGCCGTTGAGAGTGAAGTTACCACCCGCAACAAGCTGTGAGTTGCTGGTCCAGATAAGTGCGTGGCCAGTGCCCTCAAGGTTGACACCAGGACGATTCCATGCCGCCAGGGAGGTGTCGTAATAGCAGACACCCGGGCAGGGAAGGGCACCGGCTGATTCGAATGGGCCGGCAACATAGACGTCGCCAGCATCAGGGCGGACCTTGATATCGGTCACAGTCGCGTTGCCTCCACTGATTCCAGGGGGCTGAGTGCTGTTGAAGGAAGCGGTCTGCAGGTTGACGGAGATGATACCTCGCACGTCCACATCGTTGACACGACCGCGCACGTTTCCACCGGCGAAGAGCATGTCGCCAGTGACGGCAAGGGCGATGAAAGTCGAGTTGTCCTGGATCTGAGAGCCAAGGCCGCTAATGGTGTTCGAGTTGGATCCGTCGATGAGCACCAGGTTGTTGACGGTGGAACCGTTGGCGCCCTCGGCAGTGAAGTGGCCTCCGAGAATGGTGATGTTACGTCCGTTCTCATTGTAGAAGGTACCAGTAACGACGCCAGTAATGTTGCCACTGGAGACAGAGTCGCGCTTGCTCACAGAGCTGGTGCTGGTTGAGGGCGACTGGATCTTGATAGGGAACTGACCGAACTTCTCTGACAGCGACACTGCACCATTAGCGGCAATGGTGGCAGAAGTCATTGATCCTGCGTAGATAGACCCTCCGCCGGGAAGGTCGAGGATACCCGTCGTGAGAATGCCGCTGAAGGCCGGCACAGGTCCACTGAGGTTCTGCAGCCAGTTCTTCTGAGAGGGCACCCAAACAGCGAAGCCGGAAACCTGAATAACCTTGTTGTCTCCGAAGGCATTGATCTCAGTGAAGTCACCGGTGAAAGTGACGACTGGTTCAGGCTCATCCTCGCTGGTAACGTTGACAAGCATCGGGACGACGTGATAGACCTTGCCGTTGACGCCGGCACCAAGAGCAGTCCAGGTGTTGGCTGAAGTGTCGTAAACGCCCACGTTGTTCAAACCAGAGACTGCGTTGTCCAGAGTGTTGGAGAATTGTCCGCCGACGAAAAGTTGGGTGCCGTTCAGCTTCATGGACATGACCTCGCCGTTGAGGCCACCGTCAAGTGCCATGGTCGCCTCGCTGGCAGTGTTGATACCAATGACATTGCGAGCGTCCTTGGAGGTGAAGTTACCACCGACAATGACCAAGTCACCAGTGGTTGCCAAGCTCGTGACCGCAGATCCCGAAGCGAATGAAGAGCCAAGCTGATTGATCTTGGAGCTCTTGAAGTCAGTGTTGACCGTGGCGGATTTGGGATCGAAGTCGAACAATCCATTCAATCCTCCAGTAGAGTTGATCAAAGTGAAGCCGACTCTCTGCGCAACGATGGTCATCTCTTCCAGGGACTGGCCAGCCAAGGGAGTCAAGGTGACGCTGGGTCGGAAGCCATCTGCCGAGCTGGCCTCGATGTATCCAAAGTAGATTTGGTCATACTTGTCGAAGTTGTTAGTCTGGTAGAGGGATGTCGTGAACTTGTTGCTGTTGCCACTAGACATGATGCCAGTGACGTTAACTTGGCCTCGGGTCAAGCAAGTTCCATCTCCGATGCAGCCAGGAGTGTACAGGTTGACGGAGTAGTTGCCTGACTCTTTCAGATCCGGAAGGAAGGTGACAGAGGCAGAGCTGGCTGAGATGGTGCCGGAGAGCTTGGCAGTCAAGTACTGAGAGCTGCTCTGTTGAGACGGCGTAACGGACCACGGTCCGGTAGTAGTAGCAGAGGACTTGGTGTCGCTGTCAGCACAGGCTGGGGCGTTGAAGTCGTTGATGGCATATGAGTTGATGTCATCTTCGAAGAGCTGAATGCCGTTCAGACCACCGCCAGAGCCGTAGAAGGCAGAGATGTCAATTCTGAAAGAGTTCATGCCCACCACGTTGACAAAGTGAAAGTCCTGGAATGTAACGGTCTTGTTGTCGCTGAGAGGACACTCGCTCGTGCAAGACGCATTCCGACCAGTCGCAGGATCCAGGTAGGTCATGTTCAGGATGCCTCCGAGAGGGAAGGCAGTGAAGCGGAAGGTCTTGGTGCCGCGGCCATCCTGGTGGGTGTTCCAGAGTCTGAGCTTGGTGGGCTGGAAACCGAAGCCGAAGGTGGCTTGCCAGAAACCCGCCGAGTTGTCGTTGAGCAGCCAAGTGTTGCCAGAGCCATCGGCGCCGCTCGTCTTGCAGATAATGTTGCGAGGATCGCTGAATCCGCTGGTGGAGGAGCTAGAGGCAGAAGTGATGTTGGCGCTGGAAAGGTTGATTACCTGGCCATCAGGAGTGCTAGGTGTGCTGGTGTTTCCCAGGCCAGTGAAGCTGCCACCAAACACAACATGGCCGTTGGAAGCCTTTGTGATGGAGGACACAGGGCCGTTGAACCCAGCAAAGGGGAGGTTAGTCCATCCATCAGTGCCGACCCAGGCAATAGCGTTAGTTGAGTTGGCAGCGCGAAAGTTGCCTCCAACATAGACGGTGTTGGTTTCTTGGTCGCACAGAAGGGCGTTAACCTGACCTGAAAGACCAGCCAGAGGGGTGATTTCTGTGGTGTTGGGGTTGAACATGGCGACGCCTTGTGACTGGGTGCCATTCAAGCTCGTGAAATTACCACCAATTACCACTCCTTGCATCTCTCCATTGGCGAGCGTGAATGTGCACATGTCGTGAATCGAAGCATCAGTCGAAATAATTGATGCAAAAGCGCCATTAGGCAGCTGGGCAAGCAATGACTCGCTGCCATTCGTGTTGTAAGGTTTCTCATTTTGCTCCTCGAACTGGTAGAGGGAGATGCCGCTGAAGTCGCCGGCCACGCCTATCCTGCCTAGCTGGGAAAGTTCGAGATTGGCCTCGGGGACTGGGGTGAATTGGATTGCATTCGTCAAAGATGGAGCTAGAGCTGCCATCGCCATGAGGGTTGAGCGATGGCGACGGCGCGCCGACGGGCGCCTGTCGATATGCAAACGCATCGCTATTGCTGCTATGTTTTCGACGAGTAAGGAAATCGGCAGGTGCGATTTTTCGATATCGAAGATTTCGGGTCGAGAATTTTGGTTGGTGTAGAATTAGACCGGTTTTCGCGTCGCATTTGCAGATGAAGTCTAGTTTCGGGCGCTGGCCATCGCAAGACAGATTCTTTCGATTCGGTCGGTCGGTCGGTTCGAGGACGATACGCGTCGAAAAAAATCGGGGAGCGAAATTAAACGGAAGATGGTCGAGTCGGAAAGGCGAGAGAGGAAATTGACGAATAATGGGGATAAACGAGCGTAAGGTGTTGGATGCTGGGAAGTCGGGAAAAAAAAGAGAATGCTCTGTCACCTGGTTCTGTCGTACAAAAATGCTGTTAGAACTGGATTGCAGCCATTCAAGGACGGCGACGGCGAGCGACGAGGTGGTGACGAGCGCTCCTTTTCCCCTTGACTCCTCGTCTGCGCGGTGTTTGTTGTTTGTTGGTGGAGAGAAGAGAGGCTGAGCGCTGGACGAGATGGAGCTGGAATGGAAGGTGCGGCCCACCTGCGTTGCGCTAGGGAAATTGGTGGTGATGTTGGGTTGCACCTACCTCCTATCAAAAAAGCACTGACGATTTTTTTGGCGGAGGTGCTCGGATGCTGGCAGTCGCTTAAGGCAAGCCGGGTTGGGGGATAAGCCAATGACAGCAAACCTCCAAGACGGAAATTAAGCTTGAGCCTGAACTTGAAGAGAGACCGTTTGAATCGGTTTTCTCTTGGCTGCGGTTGGGAAATAAGAAAGTATCGAATAGGGTGAAAGAGTTAGAAAAAATAAAGAGTGACTGGCGGTAGTAATGAGTGTGAGTGAGGGTCTGAGTCCGATGTCTCGGTCTGGATCCCGGAGAGTAAGAGTTCGCGTGTGGGAACTGTGTATCCGTGAAGGTCGAGGTAGGTAAGGGAGTAGGGAGCAGAGAGCTTAATCCTGGGCCTCGAAATGAATGTACTACCCCGTTGGCTTGGATTACCACGCCGCGACTGTCGTGTGCCGTCGCGGTGTCTTGGTGTCGTGCTGCCGTCTGCCGTGACACGACGTGTCTGTGCAAGTTTGGTAGGGAATCAGGAGGAGGAAGGCGGCGATCTCTGGGAGCCAGCGACGCCACAAGAACCTAGGGGTCCGCAAGAGTAATACCTCTAGTTGATGCCAGCCAATGAATGCTGCTGAGATGGACGACCAGCGCTGTCCACAATCTCGGATTTTGGAATCGCAGGCGTTGGCTTTTCCCCTTGCCCAGAGAGCTAGTCGTCGTTTGAGGCTGATTCTAACCGGATCTTTCCCTTCTCTCTACGTTGGATCAAACGAGGGTTCAGTGTCGTACGGTGTGCGTGCTGCGGGTGGCCGATCGGTGTTTTGCTTTTTTGCGGTACGGGTACTGGTCGTCGCGAAATTCGAGAGATTGGCCGAGCGTTGAAGATCGACGGGATGACGAAAAGGTTGAATAGTGCGTTTAATGGAATCGAATAAAAGGGAAAGCGAACCACGATGGCCAAGCGGGCGACTACAATGGGAAGATGTCAGACGACGAATGTCCTGAGTCCTGATCGCCGATGATTACGGCCCGGTCAGGGGGTCAGTAAGCCGAGCCAGCAATTTGACCTACCCGTGGCTTTAACGATTGGAATGAGCGACAGAGACGTTCCGCGGAGGGAACCTCGGGGAATGGGGTCGAGATGTACGTCGTCGTCGGCGTCGGCGTCGTCGTCTTCGAGGGAAGAGAAAGAGGAGCAGACGAGAAGGAGAAAGTCCCTCAGTCACAGTCTGCACTCACTCTGCGTATCTGGCTCCGGACCCCCGTCTCTGATTCTGGGCACGGCGGCACTAGGGAACCACTTTCACCTTCCTTCCACCTCAAGCGGTGCAACCGGCAGGGGTGATTTTGAGAGTGCCGGGGGGCTGGCCGTCGCGTATCCGAAATACTTTGGAGATTGTGAAAGAGTGACGAGAAGCTGGATTGAACAAAATGAAATGTTTACTGAAGAGCAAGCCGTTTCCTCCTCCCGCCAATGTCCGGGTATTACAACATGTAGATCACGGCTCTATTCATACGGGGAAACAGATGCAAAGCGTGCATTGAACGTTTAAAGACAGGAGATTTGCGGACGTTGGCAAGCGTTCTCTCCTTCCAGCCTCCCTCTTCTCAATATGGGGGCTGATTGACGACGGCGTGGTCCAGGCCAGTCCCGTCGTATTTTAGTGCACGTTCGTCCTGCATCAAGCTCGCTGCTAATGCACCGGTGATGGACACTGAACGACGGGTGGTGGGGACGCGGCTTTGATGGAATGGAAAATGGTGAAGGGCGTTCAGGAGACGGGACGCCGTGACTGGACGAGCAGATGTCAGGTCCCCATTTCGCTGCAACTGTTCGCCCAGGGGAACGTCGCGCGCTGACTGGTCCATATCCTTCATCTCACCAAATTCGAAATAGCGCCAGGTACAAGACCTGCTGTGTGAGATTCATTGGCCCAATCATCTCGACGTAACCGTCCCAAGGTCTAACCCATCACCGCCATCGCCCGTCGTCCCTTGCATTAAGTTGCACATGGTGCCCGGAAAGATGTGCACCTTGCATGGAACACCATGTGAACGGTTTAAGGGGCCGCCCATTTTGGGAGCGACGACACTCGCAGCAGTATGATGATCCGGTGGTGATGCTCGTCTGTATCCCGCGCAGCCTCGATGCCGTGCTTGAATCACCCATCAGAGCCGGCATGGATCAAGCCTCCTGCGTGATCCAGTTCGCTCTGTCGTCCGAGGTGATGAGGGGCTCGCGGCGCCCCATCTTCAAACCCATCTGGTCTCACTGCCATTTTTGGCGGGGGGATATCCCGGCCTCCACCGTCGTTTGCAGTGCACTGCGACTTATTCGTGATGCAGTACCGCACTACTCGGGTCAGATTCAGTGTCTGGGTAACGGATTGCTGCGCAGATACGAATGAGAGACCAAAAAATCACAGTCCAAGGTGGCTCTCGTGTTGGTCAATTCCGCAACATGAATAGAAGAAGATAAGGTTGCTGGATACGGATACGTGAGAACGTGAGCGTGACGCGACTCGAGCAGGGCGAAATGGTTCGCTCGGCGACCTTGCAAAAGTCGAGACCGTGGATATTGGAGAAACCCCACATCACGGATGGAGGCCTTCGCCTGCGGACCGCGTTGGCCGAGTAAGGAAGAATCAGCCTCTTGCCATTGTGACCTGGTCAAACAGCAATCACTCGTCGACTTCGATTACACTGATTGCTTTCATGTCGACGTCAGACAAAAAGAAGAATGAGCCAAACTGACATTCATCTCAGAATGGACTGTCATACAAGTCAACATTCAGATCGGCGCTGTCATTCAAGGCAAAATCCTCCCGCGTATCCCTCCGGGCCACTTAACGGATCCTCCTCCCACTGCCACTTAAGGATGCCCGGTATCCAACTCACTGACGGCATAGCATTTCCATTGTATTGGATAATAATGCACCGCAGCTCGCCACACAAACGAAACAACCCAAATTCGTGCCTAGAACCCGGGTAACGCGATGACGAGACTCGGGACGAGCGATGAACCCTTCCTTATGCACTCCATTCATTCCACGCGGGCTAGCCGCTGGCTGCCCTTCCTTCATCCAAAACTTGTCCATGGTTTTTTTTCCAACGTGGGTGACATGCCGGTAACATCGGATGGCCCATTTCATCTTGACTCGTGCCTGCCCGCACTCGCTCAGCTCACTCTTGATTCAGAGCAACTCACATGGGCACCGGCGTTTCGGTCGTCCACAGAATGCAATGCGTGCGTGAGAACGAGTCTCTGGAGGAGGTACTTCAGTGTAGAAGTATCTGGAGGGGGGGGGGGGGGGGGGGGGGGGGGGGGGGGGGGGGGGGGGGGGGGGGGGGGGGGGGGG